TATGTAGTTATATATAGGTGTGGTTTATATGTGATATGTATATGGAGAGTCTATGAGTATAATAGTATGGAGATATTTATAGAGACGATGAGATGAAGAGAGAGAGAGAGATATAGAGGATAGATAGATAATAGTATAGTATATATATATATACATATACATACATATATATATGAACAGACATACATACCATATATATATACAGTATATATATATATATAGATATTAACAGATATAAGGGATATATAATATACTATATTATATATAATATATATATATTAATATATATACATTAAATATACATATACATTATATATATACATACATACAATAGATATCATACATAGATGAAATATATACGATATATATATAATATATATATATATATATAATAGCTAACTACCTTTAAAATAACATAGTAAATGTAAAAAACCTGCACCACCAATACCATATCCACAGGAGATACATTTTATAATTTGTACTGCCTAGTGGTTTAAACACATAGGCCTAAAAGACCAATTACCAAAAAAACCTTGTCGAAAAATAACCCGGGCTAAAACAGTAAAAAGGTAAAGATAAAGACATTAAATCTCACCTCATTTGTGTAATTTGGGAACGTCATCGGGTTCTTTGAAGCGCGGTGCTGTTTGGCTGTCACGATATAAAAACAGGGATCCGAGAGGTTGTAGAAGAACGCCACTCATGATGGAGCCCACTTGACACTGGCTTTTCCACACATCTCATTGTTGTGTGTATTGTTTATGGAACTGTGTGTGTGTGTGTGTGTGTGTGTGGTGTGGTTGTGTGTGTGTGTGTGGTGTGTGTGTGTGTGTGTGTGTGTTGTGTGTGTGTGTGTGTGTGTGTGTGTGTGAGTGTGACATGACTTTATTTCTCGTTACAGAATGAGAAAGCCTTATAAATTACAAAGAAAGAAAGAAAACATATATTCTATGATTTGATTATTTCATTATTTGTATGGCAATATCTTATCGTTTTGATGTTTTCTTGTTATTTTATTCTTCACCATCACAAGAGAACTTTACATATCGGCTTTACATACAACCAGTGATAAAGTCTATAAAAATACTGATAACGTGATGATAACGAAAAGTAAATACAGTAACTCGCTTATATAAACAAAATTAATTATTATCTCTCTTGTTGACACACGGACCTCTTCATTACATATTTAAAACTTGCCCCTCACAGTATTAACAGAAATCAGGCCTTTTCTTCGGAAGTATGCGCACTCCAAGAAATCTATAAAAAGTCCTTGTGGCTTAAAAGGAGTGTCACACAGCACAAGGAGAGCGACAGCTGAACTGATTATCTTATTCCAGATTATCAGAAGTGTAACACAGCTTCTCCAGTACCTCACTCGATTTCCTTAGTTATTAATATCAATCTGTATTTACACAGTGTCATAAGGCAGTTTTATGTATAGTTTATGACTGCCTTACTCCTTGCTTGTAAGGCTCTGCCTACGTGGTAAAAGTAGTTAGTGGTAGATTCTGCCCATTTCATATCCTCTTTGTGTTGGGAAGGTTGCCATATATCTCCTGCACAAAAAACTAATGGATGTTGAAGTGACTGCGTTATAAAATGCATTCATAGCATAAAACATCTACAAAATCGCACGAGACCCTACATAAATGCCAGAATAAACGGAATAGCTTACAACCTCAAGCAATGTTGTCTTCTCTGTCAGCACCAGCGGGTAACTCAGCCACAAATGGTTCAGTGGGTGACGAAGATAAATACAAACTCGCAACCCTTGTGACCTTGGTAAACGTAGCAGCGTGTTCTAAAATGTGACGCTTCTATATAATGGAGGTAAATGGATGTATTGTGCTCACAACATCGGTATTATACAAACTACATCAGTTAACCTCCCAAGGCAAAACCATAAACTTCATCTGGATACCAAGCCATGTAGGCATAACACAAAACGAAGCAGACATAGCAGCAAAAGCCAGCACCACACTTACTACCTACAGAACTGTAAAACCCAGTTGAAACCAGCTCAAGCTTCTTGCCAAACGAACCACATACCAGATTTCATGGATTACCCCCCACCCAGATGAAGACTTACCAAAAATACAGCTACATGCTTCTCTGATCTTCATACCATACGAGAATGAACCGCATCAACTACATTGAACTCAAATATACTGGGTGGCTCAGGCGAAACCCGGATACCTGAATAAACTAGTTAGGTGGAAAATATAAAAAAAGGATATGTATTGTGTGAAATTCTCTTCGGATTATAGTGACTTTTTTCATCATTCTGGTCGATTTTACTCTTTATATACATTACATTTTTTTTTTACCGATTGCTCTTTGTTAAAGTGTGAGAATTATTAAATATTTATATAAAAATATTTATTGTAATGTATGCGCATTAGGTTTCACAAGTCTTGGAAAATAAGTGAAAACAGATTATGGATGACACTTTAACGTCATGAAGAGTAATTGTTAATTAACTTTCCCACACGGTGTTCCCCATTTGCCTTTGGGTGCAGGTTAAAACCACTTCTTACGTTTAATGCCTATTTAAGCAAGGAATTTTCTTGCCTAAAATTTCAAGACTCCTTGATATCCCTGGATTTTTTCAGCAACCAGAAGTGTAGATAGCTAGACAAGCTTGCTAAAAGTTAAGCGGTATACCGTTACCATGGCAACGGCGTCGTTCGCATATTCTAGTGGTTACAATCCTTCGAATGCGGGCGTTGGCCAAGAATTACGCTTGATATTTTGTCAGAGCAATCAATTTTTACGGTTTTTGTTCCTAAAATCTCAATTATTTATCTAATGCAATTAAAATTTATTGTAAACGAAAGGAGACAGAGGAGATTATGAAACAAAAGTCTACTTAAAATCAGAAATTATAATACATTATTTGATGAAATACAGAATATTTCAAGTGGAGAAATATGAATTGGCCAAATAATGATTTAGTAAAACAATAATTCTGAACAAATATTATAATCCTCAGTGATAAAACAATAATTGGCGATGGAATGGTTTGCTCTAAAGCGAATACAATAACTGAGTTTAGTACTTCAACTGATTCTATATATCCTCAGCTGAATCACTAGGAGCCTGGAGAAGAAGACAAAAGGAAAGATTAGAGCTTAAGAGAGGGAATTTTTACTTTGCAAAAGGAGAGAGAGAGAGAGAAATGAAATCTACAACAACACGATATCACAACAAAACAGACAATGGAATAAAAACATTGTGCTGTGTTGGGACTGTGTGCTGTTTGGACTTGGGTGCCTGTGAGGCTTATGCCTGCGATTATTTAAGTGTCAAACTGAGCCATTCTATTTCATTGCACAGATTTATTTGAATAGCATATTTTGTTATATCAGTATCAATGGGATGGAATTGGTCGTTAATTTTTCTCATATTTGTAGGTTTGGAAACCTTATCTCATTTTTCTTATATGCAAGCATAGTTTGTTTAAAGATTGTATGTAGTGCTAATCGAAAATATTCATAGATTGACTATTGCAGGAATTAGAAACAGTAAATGTTTTTAATACTGCATTCAGTTTATTGAATATTAAAGTATTTGCCATTAGTAAAATGTAATGCAGATAACTGTTATGCATTTATACCTAAAGCTCAATCTACTCATTACCTAAATACTCTAAATGCTATGCCCATCATCATCAATTTATCACTATAAATTGGCCTTATGAAGCAGATAAGAGGTTAAATCACCAACAATTAAGTTTTATCTAATAGGACTATTCATACAAAACAGTTTTGAACAAACAAATCACTTGAATCAATACAATTTTCTGTAAAGAAAACAAACAAAACTTGTTTCTTCCTATATGACATACATTACATACTGACAGTATTAGGCATCCTAGGCAATGTGAGTATCAGTCATTTATTCCATTCAGTGAATTTTTATTTATTACGAGAGATTAGTCTTTGTTATTGTTTTTTGTTTTTTTTGTTTTTTTTTTACTTTTTTTTTTGTTTCATACTATGGGAATTCTGGTCACTGTTATTATTATTATTTTCATAATTATTATTATCATTATAATTTTAAGAATGGCAGTGGCATAATAATCATAAAATGCTACTACTACTACTACTACTACTACTACTACTACTACTACTACTACTAATATTAATAACAATAATAATGCCAGTGACCACGACATTGACATTAGCATTGACATAGAGAATAGTAATAACAATAATAATAATGATGATAATATAAAAAATTATTATTATCAAAATTGTCATCCTCATCATTCTCATCAGAATTTTCGTCACCATTCGAAAACACATCTTTGTTATCAGTGTTATTATCTCACATTATTTGGAAAATGATATGCTAGCCAACAGTTCTTGAAGGCAGTTTTTATTTCAAAATTTCTAATAACAATCTTATATCTATATTAGAGATTATGATATGTATATAGGAATGGGTATATCGGTGATGGAATTTTAGATTCAGTGAAGTCCATTTCTTTTGTCTGGTTTTTGATAACGCATCAGAGTCGTCAGTGTCGTAAGTGGACTGTATATGCATCTAGAAATAAATTCAATGTTTTGTTAAGATGTTTGGATTGCTCTGTTGATTTAAAACTATATATATATATATATATATATATATATATATATATATATATATATATATATATTACATTTCATGTATATATATATATATATTTTTTTTTTTTTGGGGGGGGGGAATAGTTGAGTTAAAGTGTATACATTTTCAGACTGGACGTTTTACAGAGCCATTCGTTCGGTTTCTTTAGCTTTCCTAATTACATTTTCGTTTTATACGCTATATATGAGGCCCCATATGCAAGAGGGGGTTAACCCTAAATCTTTGTTTTGAGTAAATCGTATTCGCAGTTAATAACTTACTGCAATGAGTAGAGCGGTTGAATGTAATATTATTATGCATCAAAATAAAGGTCTAGGCTAGTTCTGTCATGCTATGGTATTTAAATTTATAAAAATGAAAAA